CTGAGAACACTGAAGGAAAAGGCTGGTCCTCTGTAGGCCATCCCAGAATAGCTCAAATTGTTTCCCCTGGCTCAGCCAGTGCACAAGAACATGATATAAAATGTTCCTTCTGCTTAGTCCCTCTTCGGGGAAAATGTAAATAGATTTTTTCCCATCACCGTGGGGTCAGGCCGTGACTCCAAAGGAACATGAGTTAAACCAGTTTCGGCCTTGGCAGTAGACATGTGACTTGGTCTCGTTCCTTTCCCTTGGGCCCAGCTTTCCAGAGCCACAGTTTTATTTTAAACTTGGTAGAAGGAGTTTGGTTTTAATTATGTGCCTTCCTGAACTCCTGATAGCTTTCAAGTTAAAAGCTTTTGTGGGGATTTTTCTAAGCCAGTCTCTGGTATTTGAGGGCCCTACACATTTCACAAATCAAAACCAGTCTGGTTCCTGTCCCTTTCTAGGATTGCCATCTGAATTAATGGTGATCTGCACTCTGTTCTTTTATTAGAAACAGGCCCAAGCCAGGAGATTATTATGGGAGAATTTCAAGAGATATGAAAGGAAGGATGATACTGCTGAGAGAGAACATTTAAAAAAGGAAAAGAAGAAGAAAAAAAAGGAAGGCGCCTGCTTCTTAGTTTGGGGTATTTTTTAAACTATGATCTGTCTAGCTAATCATTCTTTTTACCTCTCTGTGTTCATATTGATTTCTGAGCAGCTTTTTGTCCCTTCTGCTCCAGGGTCCCATTCGCAATATTTATTGCCCTCAATTGGGCCTTACAGGCTGTGAAAGTAATTCCTTCTCTGAACAGTTTTTATCTAATTCAGACCCACCAGAGAGCATCATCTTAGTGGCCATCATTCCTTCGTCTTCAGTAGAAGGTAGAGCAAAACGATCTTTAACAAAAACACTTAGAGAAGTTCTGAGAGTTCCAGATTAGAACATATGACACAATACATTTGTATATTAACCTGTGAATTGGATAAAAGACTCCTGCCTTTTCTAAAATATACGATGTCATCTTGTACAGGTAAGCTATTCAGACACTACTTAAAGAGGAGAGTAACTGTTCTGTTTTTAAGAGAGAGCGCACAGAGGCGGGAGTGCAATGGGGCCATTCCCAGAGCATGGGGAAGTGGAACCCACATTCCTAGCCTTCAGAGGACCGTGGATTTGGCCGGGGTCTCCAAGCCCTGTGTTCTAGTACTTCTCCTTATTTCCTGCACCCTAGGCTGACCTCTTAGAATCCTAGTCACTTCCCTAGTCTATGTTCAGCTTCCCTTTTCTTTTTTTGTTTTTTTGGGGGTTTTTTGTTTTATGTTTTTGGGTTGGGTTTGGTTTGGTTTTTTAGTAGTCACTTTCTGACCAAAGCTTCCCCCTTCTAATGTCACTTCCTGGCTTACTGTTCCCCTGAGAGCACTTAGTCTAACTCCCACTCTGTCTTATCTCCTGCCCTGTAGATTTACTCAGTAGTCTCCTGCAGCAGCGTTGGCCGTCAGCTTTCTCAAATAAGAAGCGCTGTCAACGGCTGAGCTGTGCTTAGTTTGAGTGACAACACGATGAAGAGGGAAAATCAAAGTTAAGTCTTATGCAGCAATTTAGCCACTCTGCTGCTTTCCCCAAGAAACCCAAGCTTCTCTTTCTGTAAATCTAACCAGTGTTTTTCTGTCAAACCCAAAATAATCCAGGGTAACAAGAAGCCAAGCAAAGCAATAGTTTTTAGAGGTATTCCCCCAGTGAAAAATCAGGAAGTATGATCTGAAAACCTAAGCCGTTTTACTAGAAGCTGGGGAATTAACTACTAAACCCTGTATATGTTTAAGCTATCTTGTCTTCTAGTCTGTAACAACACTCTTTTTAGGCTAAAAACCTTAAACCATTTCTATTACAGTGAGAATGCCATCTCCTTTAGAAATCCCAGTTTTCTTCCTTTTTTGAAGTAATATTGTTTGTATTAACGTAACTCTGTTACCTCTACTGATTCAAATCTCACTAATCTCTGAGGTTTTAAGGGGTTTATATGCATGCCTCTAATTGGTAGGGTTGACCTTCCCAGGACATTGCTAAGGTTAGCCTCTGCAGGCAGTAATTTAAAAACCCCAAGGATTCTACACAGCTCCACAAATCAGGTAAAAGCTGGAGGGAATGTTAGAGGCAACGAGGAGAGATCAAGGATTAACTTGCAAGCTCTGTTTTCTCTGATATCTCGATCCAGGCGATTTATCTACTGCCTTGTCTACGGGATCACGCATCATCTACACATTTTCATAAAGGGTCACCCAAAAGGAAATTGTTAACAAGCAATCTTAAGCCTTAAAAAGATGATAAACAGCAAACTGTGATATTTGCTCTTAGTTACTCCTGGCAGGCAGAAGTAGGAGTGTCATTCGTCAGCTTCCTAGCTGGCCATTGTAGGAGGCACATCCTGGAGTGGGCCTGTGTGGGCACAACTGCTGCAGCATCACAAGTTGTAGCACCGTTAGCGTTACCGTCCTCCACACGCTCTCACCTGTGGAAAATTAATTTAGGCCTCTTGAAAACCCTGTGGAATCGGCCTTTTCATATCCACGAACCCCGTGGGCTTTCCAATTGCTGCTTGATAGTACTAACCTATTTTTAGTGTTTTTCGGTTAAATGTTTGTATTTTACGTCAGCCTCCTCAGTGGAGGTCATACAGTATACACAGCCGTACTATACCTACAGTCACATATCTGTCTAAGAACTCTCTTGGGTGTGATGATAGCGCATAAAAAAACTTCATTGTGCTTCCAGAACATTCTAAATGGAAAGGGTTAATTATATGTCTTTTTTTTTTTTCTTTTGAGAAAGAGTCTTGCTCTGTCGCCTAGGCTGGATGGAGTACAGTGGCCTCATCACAGCTCATTGCAACCTCAAATTCCTGGGCTAAAGCAATCCTCCTGCCTCAGCCTCCCAAGTAGCTGGGACTACAGGCACTTGCCATCACACTCTATTTTTTATAGAGACGGGGGCTAGCTCACACTCAAGCTGGCCTCAAACTCCTGAGCTCAAGCAATCCTCCCACCTTGGCCTCCCAGAGCGCTAGGATTCTAGGCATGAGCCACCATGCCTGGCCTACATGTCGTTCTTATAAGAGTAAATCAATGGAAATGATTAGCATGCTTTGATATATATAATAGCTAAGAGTAATGCCAAGTAAAATCATAATTTCCCTATTTTAGTGGGAAAAAAATGCATATGTCTTCACTATAGTAGTAACCAGGGGTTACTCCTGTTATCTCCGAGTAGTTACAGGCATGTTTTCCCTAGGTTGCTTCAGATGAGCTTGTCAATTATGTTGACAGTGCTCTCCTGGCTCTGCCAGGCAATTTGTTCTGCTTCATCCTTTGTACTCTTCTACAGGGCTCTGCACACAGTGGACTTTTTCTGTTGTTTTTTGTTTCTTGAGTGGTCTTCAGTGGTAAATGGACTCTTAGGACCTTGGCATTTGCTGGTGTGGAGTTCAGTCTCAGTTATTCACCGGTACTTGACATATCACAATTTCTAGTTTTCCTGGGTTGTGAGTTTTAATTCACCCAGCTGCTGTAAGGCTGGATCTTGGATCTTCCCACAAAGCTAATGAGTGACATAACCAACAGCTCGCATCTCAGTTTCACTGCGCACTCCTGAAGCATTTTTATATGTATAGCAATTCCTGAGAGGTGACTCCTCAGTAGTTCAAGGATTCACTATTCATTTTGTAGGTTATTGGACCTTTGTTCCTCTTCTTCCTCCTCTTGTCTGTCCTTGAGGATTGTGTTGTTCTTTAACACCTTAAAAAAGGAAATAAATGAATACGTTCAAATCAATCGAGTTTTTATTTGCCTGAGTTTAAAAAAAAAAAAAGGAAAGGAATACAAGGGTAAAGGTCATCTATGATAAAAAGTAAATGTAAAACACAGATAAACACTTTTTGTTGTTCAGTTTGCTTACAATGACCAAGCTTACAAGTTGTAGCTATGAAATTCCTTTCTTCTGAGACCTCAGAGTACTTATTTTTTTCTTTTTTTTTTTTAATTATATAATTATTCTTTTCTATATTTTTTTCTCCTTTTTTTGACTTAACAGGTATACGGTATTTTTTTTTCTTTTCTTCTTCTTTTTTTTTTTTTTTTTTTTTTTTTTAAGAGATAGGGTCTCTTAAAGGTCTCCAAGCTGGAGTACAGTAGTATGATCATAGCTCACTGGAACCTGGAACTCCTGGGCTCAAGCCATACTCCTGCCTCAGCTTCCTGACTATCTGTGACTACAGGCACACGCCACCACGCCTGGCTAATATATTTTTTTATTTTTGTAGAGATGGGGGTCTCACTATGTTGCCCAGGTTGGTCTTGAACTACTGGCCTCAAGGAATCCCCCCCGCCCCTGCCGCCGCTGCCTTGGCCTCCCAAAGTGCCAGGATTAAAGGCGTGAGCCACTGCACTCGGCTTTTTCATTTTTTTAATAGCAACCTAGGGATTAGGATGGGACTTTCTTGTCTCCCCTAACCCCCTTACACTTCTAATCTCACTAGAGATCTGGGAGAAAGCCAGGAACTGTCCTGAGTTTTAATATTTGTAATTGCAGCGTTCACTCAGGGTGGGGTTGGGGGTTTGTGAACTGAAGGAAATTTATAAAATAAATATTGAGGTCCACAGAGGCTAAATGTCACACAGAAAGTCGATGATAGTCACTCATAGAACACAAGCTTGGCTGGCTAGTTGGGTGGGGGGAGAGCAGTTTTTAATCATTTTACATTTTGCTGACTTCAGTTTAAAAATATGCTGTCCCAAACCCTTAAATCTAGTGAGTCACAAAACACAAAGAAGTGTGAGCAGGAGCTAAGGTAGCCTTTTGCGCGGTTGAATTGCTTTTCTTAAATGGCGCCTCTATCTCCAGCTGTGAATTTCAGACGTTTGATTTGAAAAGTGCATTTATAAATGGAAAAAATAAAAATCAGTCCCTTGCTAATGCTGTTTTCTTTTTCTTTTTTTTTTTTTTTGTCTCCTTTCTCTAGCATGAAAGACTTTCTAGGTAAGAACTCTCCCTGTTTTATATGCATGCTTAATACTTATGAGTGAATGCATGTCTAATTAAATTTAACTTTATATAATAGTTTGGTAGTGAGTGTTTCTCACATCCTTTCCTTACTTTTCATTTCTATAGCCACCACAATAATTCAGACTTTTATTATCTCCTGCCCAAAGTAATGGAACAGCTTTTCAACTCATCCTCCTGCCTCCAAATGATTCTCCTCTTTCCAGTCCATCTTGTATACTTCCACTAGATTAATTTTTTTAAAGCGCCAGTGTACCAGGCACCATGCTAGGTACTAGGGAAACAACATGAATAAGACACTATTAAACTTCACTTAGCTTACAAGCCACTAGAGGGACAGATCATTCCCATAGAATGTAGTAAGTGCCAATTAGAAGCAGGGACAGCTGTGGTGAGCACAGAGAAGAGCGGTCAGCCTAATCTGGTGGTTCAGGGAAGGCTTCATTGCAGAGTTAAAGCCTGAATTGAGATTGAGGTTAGATACTATCGTGTAATAGTGGATCCAACACCTGTATCTGGATGGTGCTCCATAATAGTGTGTTGAATGAACTAAAGACCTGTTTCACAATTGCTGAAAAATTAAGGAAGATTTTCGGAGTTTGGGGGATGACCCTCTGTAATTTTTCACCTATTGTCTAAGGGTACAAAACTGATCTTCCTGAAGAAGAAAATAAATAAAAAATAATAGAGATTGTAGAGCCAAAGTTTGAATCTTTGTTTTTCCACTGTTCCTCTGATGGAAAGTTAAGAAGAGATTGGGGGAAGATACAGTTGTGGGATAGCATAGGGCAAATAAGTTCTTCCTAAATTGTTTGGTAATTGAACTGGTTCTGCCTTATTAATATATTTTAAATTTTACATGTATTCTTCTTCTGGTTGCCCTCTCACCAGGTACCAACTGGAGGACAAATAATTTACATCTAACTTAGCAGAAAATGACTTAGTTTTGCAAAATTCGTAGAAAGTGGTATTTTTCTGTAGTTAATATTTTGTGAACTCTGTTATACTATAATGGCCATTTGTGAAAGGCAATTTTCCCCACAGACTTCAAAATATGCTGTAAAGCTGTAGTGATTAAAACAGTGAAGCACTAGTTCAAGGATTAACAGGGAGATATATGTAACACAATCCCCAGCCCTCACAATGTCATGTGTGTAAGGTGACTTTTCATCTCTGTGGCGACGAAATTATTCAGTAAGAGATCATTAGGACAACTGATTATCTATTTGGGAAAATATAGCTTTCCCTCAAGCCAAACCAAAAAAAAGAAAGAAAAACCAATTTCAGATAGATTACTATTTTTAAAGAAAAGGGTTTTACATTAAAGTTAGTAGATGAAAAGATTTTACAATCTTTATATAAGAAAGACCATTCCAAGAATGATAGCATAAAGGTAAAAATTATCAAATTCATAAAATCTAAAATCTCTGCTTGTAAAAGACACTATAAATGAGACAAAAAGTGAAGTGAGGAAAATATTTGCAGCCTATGTTAAACAGTTTTAAAAGCCCTCCTATGTAGGAGGCTTTTCCAACATAACAAGAAAAAGACAATTACCCTACTGAATGAGGACTGTGAATAGGCAATTCAGAAACAAAGGTAAATAACCAGATATTGAATCTCCCTAATTATTTAAAAAATATTAAAATTAATGACAATGAGATTATATTTCTCCTATTGGATTGGAAAGGATTAAACCTCTCTGGAGGGCAGTATGGCAATGTATATATAAACATTTAAAATATATTTAGCTTTGACCAAACAGTTACACTTCTAAGATTTATCCTAAGAAACTAGTTGGACAAAGGCACTAAGATTTATAGACATCTGCTCATTATAGCATTGTTTATAGTAGCTAAAAAACCCCCCCAAAATATAAGTATCAATAGAGGATTAGTTATATAATCATACAAGCATGAAATGGAAGATTATGCAGTTGTTGTTTTTTCTTTTTAAATGAGGCAAATTTATTTTTACTCACATGGTAAGATGCCCACAATCATAGCAATAAGTACAGGGAGGAGGAGGAGTTTGACAGCGCTGTGTGTTATGACTTTATTTATAGATTTATGTATTTTAACATTGATGTGCTCTGCAAGGATATGAACTAAACTGCTAATAGTAATTATTTCTTTGGAGAATTATGGGGTGACTTTCTACTTTAGACACTTCAGTATTAACCTTTTCTACAAGCATGTATTGCTTTTGTAATCAGGAAAGTCAATAAAGAGATTTCTATTAACCAAAAAAAAAAAAGAAAAATTGTTGTGAAGAATGTGGGACTCTCTGTGAAAAGTGGCCATTAGCGTCCTTGGGAGCTGTTTACATTGCCTAGCCCTTCTCTGTGTCATTCCTATTGCTCCTCTACCTCATCAGTACTTAGCTCCCCCACCCGCAGCTATGGCAATAACTACCGCAAGACAGGGACATCAAATGCAAGTTCCACAGCTGTGACTTTTCATCCCAGTTCAGGATGTAGAGCAGAGCTGGTTTGTACAGAGCAGTTTCATATGTGCCATGTTTTAGTTTGAAAGAGCAAAGTCCGAGAAAAATTATAAATCAGCGTTAAGGATTAGCGTGATAGTTGTACACAAACAGGCAAGCAGCTGAGGCCCTTCCCCTAATGAACTTACCAATACTGGGAATAAACCACCATCAGCTCTAAGAGCTCCATTGCTAGAAAACGTAGAAATTCTAATCACAGGCACAGCAGTCTTGACATGGAATATAGATAAGAGGGTAGGAAACTAGCTGTTTGGGCACTGTGTTGGTACCCCCAAAATGTTTGGGATTCCAGAAACCGGTGGTGCACTTAAAAGGCATGCATACCACGTCCTAGTGGCCATTCCACTCCCGTTCAACCTCAAGCTCAGATCTTCAAGTCCATATGTTTCTGATTCGTTGACAGCTCATTGTAATCATTTTCCAAGAGCCATTGAAATCCAAGAAACTTTTACTTTTAAAAGCACGCTCTTGAGGGAAGCTTTTCAACCCTAAACTAATTTGAAAAGCTCTAAGATTTAAGTTAGCACTTGGGTCCAAACCACCAATTTTTCAAGTAAAGCTTCATTCTTGGCAAATGCGGGCCTGCCTCCCTCTCCAAGCTCATGCAGTTTAGCCCTGAGGTCTGGGAATGCTGGCAGTGAGATTCAAGGAAGGAATGTCGTGCATTGTTTCTGTCCAGGGCTCTCAAACACTTCTTAGAAAAGGCGCACACTACCCACAAGCATTATCTTCCCCCAACTACTTTGTTCTGAAACCAATTTTTACCTTTAATATTGTCTCCCACAGGTTGGAATCTGCAGGTAGTAACCCTACAACCAGCGATTCTTATGGGGACCGGGCTTCCGCAAGAGCCCGTCGGGAGGCCCGGGAGGCCCGTCTAGCCACCCTGACCAGCCGTGTAGAAGAGGACAGCAACAGGGATTATAAAAAAGTAGGACCTTTTTAAAATGTTTCTGTTCTTGGGTGACATGTAAACCTCTCAGCCTTTCCCTCAATATAGAAAAATCCCTGTAGTTCTGAGTAAGCAGAAAAGATGCTTAAGTAACAACTAATTCATTGCAGGTTTCTGGGTGTGCTTCACCTCTTCAACCAGTTGAATAAAGACCCCTTCATATATTGTTTTTGGTGCGGTAAATATATGGGTAGAATCAAATATTTAGAAGTGTAGGAAAAAGTAAGAAATTAAGAATTATAAAAAGGATAAAAAATCTAATGCTGTCTGTCTGAGCTTCTGAGAATCATTTGGTAGACACCATTATTTTTAACAAATATGTGCTTCTACTAAGGTCCTGTGACTATCAATTAAATACTACTTGGTGTTAGAAGAAGAAAAAAATCATCATCATCTGAGTTTGGAGAGGGTTTAAATCACTTTATAGTTCATTCCCTTTGGTTCTTGTAGAAGAGTACCTAGTTCCAGGAGTAGATTTGAAAACCTTCCCCTTCAGGTGCTTGAGATACCAGGAAAAAATATTTTTTGTTAAGAAAATATTTGTTTTGTTAATGTTTTGTTAATAAGAACTTGACTAAAATCAATACACACACTAGCAGGGTTCCAAAAAAAATAATTCTCTTTTGTATGGGGAGGCCCACTTTTAAGCAATGCAAATAGAAGAAAATAGAGTGCCTGTTTTTCCCCAGAGATTAACAGTAATGAAGCTGAAGCATCATCATTCTCTTTGTGTTCATCACTTTCAAGAAGCAAGAGACCAGCTGGCTGAATGTGCTCTGCTCCCTAGACTTCATCTTTTCCATCTACCAGACAGTGCTGGCTTGGAGCGCAGAGCCCCAGGCATCCTCATGTGATGAACCACTATGGGTTCTAATTCTGGAAGCCCCAGCTAGTGGGTGACCTGATTCTCTTTTTCCCTTCCCCCAGCTGTACGAGAGTGCCCTGACCGAAAACCAAAAACTGAAAACAAAACTTCAAGAGGCCCAGCTAGAGCTAGCAGACATAAAAGCCAAGCTTGAGAAGATGGCCCAGGTAAGGGGGAAGGAAAAGAAGAAGGATGGGAGCCAGGCGTTGAGGTAAGGAGTCCAGCTGGACTGGGGATCTAAGGGATGAGAAGTAAGACAGAGTCGAGATTAGGCCTACGCCAAGGCAGAGGATAGAAGCCTCTTAGATTCTAATTTGATTCTAGGGTTCCATCAGTGTTTGACTGAAAATTGAAAATTGATAATTCAGTGAACAACTCCTGATGGTCTGAATGCTACTAATTAATATTCTAGATCATCATCTACTTATTTTTTAGTAGAAAAGTACAAACCAGTGCCACAAGGCTAGTCCTAGACAGTTTCTCTCATCTTGTTCATCATGTTTCAGTTCAATTTATCTATACTTCACCTCTCGGAGGGCAGTAAGCACAACACTATTAAACCTAGTGAAAGAGGTGGCAAATTAGGCCTGAAGAAGTAAGTGCTTTGCTTAGGTCATATAACAAATCAAGGGCAAAGGTGGTGCTAGAACATAGGATTGAGTCCCAAAGCAAACATCTGTAGCATACGTTGTCTCCCCAAGCCACAACTCTCTTTTGACCTAGGAATAAGGAACATTAGTGGCAGAAAGACCAGATCAACCATTTCCTTTCATTGCTAGGCCTGATTTAATTAGGCAATGCTTTAGAGCTGTGTTCCCCAACCCCTGGGTCCGGACCGTAGCAGGCCATGGCCTGTTAGCAGCCAGGCTCTGCATCGCTGGCTCAGCTCCACTTCCCCCACCCCACCCCACCCCACCCCAAGGAACTGGGCCACACAGCAGGAGGTGAGCAGTGGGTGAGGCGAAGCTTAACCGGCATTTACAGCCACTCCCCATCGCTCACGTCACCACCTGAGCTCCACCTGCTCCCACCCCCCCCACCCTTATCCATGGAAAAATTGTCTTCCATGAAACCAGTCCCTGCTGCCAAAACGATTGGGGACTGGGACTGCTACTTTAGAGGGTGCTGGAGGTAATAACCTCATCACCAGTGAAACAAACCCTGCGGCTAAAAGCTGTCTTAAGTTATTGCTGCATTAACAGGAAACCTATCGAGTTGTTGCCCTCCTGGAATGCCTGAGGACTAAGAATTTCAAAAGCTGAACTGAAGTAAAAACATTTCTTTACCAGGAACGTATGAAATGAAAACCAGAGGTGGCTAATTATTGGGGCAATATAATATAATCCAAAAGCAAAGACTAAAATGCTAGGGTTGGACAGTACCGAACACATGGGGTTATGGAGGGCAGAAGGGGTTGAGGGCCCTCTAAACATCTTCTTGCAACTCCTTGAGAATGGGATGAGCAAAGAGATGCCAGCACTTGGAAGACAGCGGCACAGAACTGCATAGGATCCCAGGAAGACAGCTGAGATACCCGCACTTTCCAGACAAGTGCCTGATGAGGCACGAAGTAGACGGCCTGTCCTGTGAGCTGCCTGTCAGTTTGGAAGAGGCCCCCTCTGCCTGGCTGTAGTAGCCAAACATGGCTCTTACTGGGAATTTCTGAGACCTAATGCAGCACAGGTAGATAATAACTAGGCTTAAAGTGATTTTGTGGAATGAGAAAAGTAGGTCTCTAAACCTATTAAAAATTTAAAAATACACAGTTATAACCCTGCCGTAGGGCAGGGAGATGGACTCAATAAACCTTGTGGTCTCTTTTTACCTTAGCAGTACTGAGCCATGCCAAAAATGTCGTATTCATGGGAGACTCTCAGGAGACGTTTGGGTCTAACGTTTATCTGAACAGCACCACATATTAGCGGTGGTTAATAAATACAGATCTTATGCTGGCTCACATCAGTTATCACTAGGGCTGTTTCGCAGAAAGTTAAGAAGCAGTCACATGAGGAGCTACAGGAAGCACACTGCTTCACTTGCTCCCCGTTCTCCTTGGCAGAAGCTTCTGACGGCATGTCTTGACCTTTAGGGGTCCTTCGCTTTTCCACCAGCTCCTGCCTCGTAGCAGTGCGTGGTCTGACAGGCTGCTGACGTCTCCTTGCACAAAGGGCTTTGAAAATAAAATCAGCCCTTCCAGTTGCAAGGGAAAAGCATTTACTCTCCAGCCAGCTGCTTTGCTGGGTGTGTCAGAATATATTAAATACTTAGTTTTACCAAATACAAGTTATTGAAATTCAGAATAAACGGTAGTGCTACAAACCAAGTCTCTGCTATTTACCAAAAATGGAGTTGTTTGGCAGAACGGCAGAGGGAGGGCTTGTCGGCCTTGCACATTTGTATGGAAACAGTTACTACATGAACACACACAATGTTTTTACATAAAAGAGCCACCTGAACTCTAAGGGGGTCAAAATTTAAAACAAAACAAACAAAAAACTAGTTCTTTGTATATGTGACCCTTGAAAACAGTGAAGTCATCACAGTTTCTACTCTCCTCAGGCTCAGGAAAGAGAGACGTGTGAGGATGTGAACAAGCTGCAGGATCTGTTTCTGCATTTTCTCTTTTCCTTCTGTTTCGTAGTAGGCGCAGCGTAAGGCGGACGGCCATGACCTTCAGAACAGAAGGTGAAAGCCCAGGACGGAAGCCAGAAGTCTTAGTTTTACTGCTAGTTCTGGCTATTCCTTAATTTTTTGAAAAAAGAAACCTGTGCAAGAAGACCAGCATAAATTCAATGTTGTCTGTGCATGGCACTAAGCAAAATAAAAATAATAATCACCTGTATTTATTAACTATCTACTGAACATAAGAGATTCTGTTCCATTCTGTAATGTTAAGGTCAAAAGGTATGTAAGGGTTCATTTCTATTCCCCTATTTACGGCAAGGTCGTTACCTGAGGTTATTCTGCTTTTTAGCTATGATGACTAAATCCTTTTAGCCCCCTCTGCAAAATTTAAATTGAAATCAAAGACGATCTAAAATAAACATTCTAAATCTTTTATTCAAATAAAATATTACCTTATCTGGAAGCCCAGTATATATTAATAAAACAGATAAAAGTGAAATTGCTCTGTTCAAAGCAAGGTAGAAGCCATGAATGGGTTCCTAGGAACCCCCGGAAGCCCACCCACATGTGAAAACCACTGCTCTAAAAGAAAAATTGGCATCAGTTCCCCAAAAAAGAAAGAAATGGGGGAAAGGAGATTTTTTTTTTTTTTTTTGAGCCAGAGTCTTGTTCTGTTACCTGGGCTAGAGTGCGGTGACATCATCATAGCTCACTGCAACCTCTTACCTCAGCCTCCCAAGTATCTGGTACTATAGGTGTACGCCACCATGCCCAGTTAATTTTTTGTTTTGTTTTTTGTAGAGATGAGGGTCTCACTGTGTTGCTCAGGCTGGTCTCAAACTCCTGGCCTCTCACCTCAGCCTTTCAAAGTGCTAGGATTACAGGCATGAGCCACCATGCCTGGCCTCCCCAGTCTTTCAAAAAAGAAAAGCCATTTTGTAATCTCCTCTGAGTTTGTGATATTACTCACGGACAGAAGAGGGGAGAGGAATGGTGAGATATAAGAATGTAGTTGGCATCGAAGACCTAGAGAGAGAGTGTGTGTGTTAGAGAGTTGTGAGTAACGTCTTTGTACCTGTGAGTATTTTAAATTTCAGGGAACACTACTACTGCCTTCCCCTTCCCAGTGGGAATCCTGCAGACTTCAGAGAGGCAACAATGTTAGGCTAAGAGACCGCTCAGAATCTATTTGCTGGGCCCCTGCTATGGTGGCAGCCCAGAGCCCTACCTTCTACTTCTGGATGTGCCGTGGTGCAGCTGCACCAGACTGGGCTTTCCACTCGCCCCGAGACAACTTAGTAACAACTGTTTTCCTTGCATTTGCACCAGCAGAAACAAGAGAAGACCTCTGACCGATCATCAATGCTGGAGATGGAGAAACGGGTATGAGCATATCTCTTTTCCCCGTTTCATCTGTTCTTTCTTTCTCTAACTGTGTTGTTTGTGCCAATGGAAAAAGTTCATCTGAAGAAGGCAGGAGTTCTGCCACATTCCATTCCCAGCTCGATGATAAATTCCTTTCGTCTGACTGTAGGCAGTAATTTGATTGCTGGTCCTCTTGGCTTCCTCAGATGGTCAGCACTTTCCACATATTCCAGTCTTAGGGTGGGAAGGGTCCTTGGAAGGTCATCTTACGTGCTGTTCTGCCTGTAGGCAGAACCGTGCCCATGCACACGCCCGTGATATATTGTGGTTTACTGTAAATCGTCACGCACACACCCACATTCAGGTGCAAGGTCTCCTTACCCTTCCCATCACCTTGAACAGAAAGGAGGCTTTCATTCTGTGAAATGTAAATATAGTCAAAAAGTAACAAAAGTAAAAAAAAAGAAAGGCTTTTAGCAGGACCCTCTGCCATTGATTTAGGTCTTATGACTTGAAACATGAGCCAACACAGATTTTCACTCACTCTCTTGCGTGTGGGGAAGATTTCTGGTTCAATTGCTGACCTCCTCCCAACTGCACTCAGAATATTGTCCTGGGATTTTACATTCTTAGATTGGGAAAATTCAATTAGATTTATTGATGAACGCTAGCTTTGATTTGACCCTAGGGATATAATATGTTCCCATCTCTCCTGTTGTTGTCCATTTAATTTGGAAAGCAGCTAAGTTTTTTTATGTTTTATTCCTTTGGCCTGTAACCAAACCCCCTTGGTATCTCAGTGATGTCTACCTCCTTACCATCCGCTCCCCATCATCAGAGGAGAAGCTCCCTAGGAATTTAGGAGGAGCATTACTGGAGATAATGATGCCTTTTCGATAATGGAGAGCAAGGGCCCTAGTCACTTACAGTCATTTGAAATTCCATGAAATCTTCAACTTGCACAAAATAACTCCAAGTACCCTGGTTCTCTGTGTATTAGCAAGTTGCTTCTCCGTATATCTTCTAATTTTCTGATAGGAGATTTAGGTAATGTGATTTTTATCAGTGCAGTAGCTCCATCCACAAGTGTGGGTCAGATATTGCTCAAATCTCCCAAGTAATGTTTGCCTGAGTCAGTAGACAAACCCTTTGACCACGAAGCAGCTAGGAGACAGCATTTTGACTCCTGTCTAAATTCATTAGATATTCAACAGTCTCATTGTTCCTCAACAGGAGAGGCGAGCCTTGGAGCGGAAAATGTCTGAAATGGAGGAAGAGATGAAGGTAGGAAGAGATTTTCTTTCTCTCCGTGTATTTGTTCTCTGAATGCCTGCCAAGACTGGACATGTGAGCACAGGCCTTTCCCCTCCAAATTTCTCTACAAACTCAGCAACCTCAAGAAGTGGTGACGGGTGAGGAATAGGTGAGCACCTCTCCTCCGCCATCACAGGCTCTCTCGGCGCACGGTATCCACTGTGGCCACCTCAGAGGCCTCCTAGGAACAAACGCTGTCTTTGGTTTAAGGGGAGACCTTGGCAGGGTGCAGAGAAACCTGAGTTGAACTCTTAAGGTTTTTAAACAACGTCTTCACCCTCCAGAGGCTGGATAGGGAGGCAAGAACAAGTTGTCCAGCTCTGCGGAGCCTCCCATTAGGTGCCTGGAGAAGCCCGAGCCTGGCCAGAGGCTTTCCTCCCTGCTGCTCCTCCCCAGCCCAGCCCTGAGCTGGGAGGAATACAGATTAAGCCATTCTGCAGTAGAGTATAAATTTATTCACATTTTGTATCCTGCCCCAGTCCGTTTCCCCTGAAATGTTCAGGAATGCTTGGCACTCTTCCCGCAGAGTAAGATACGCTTCACAGCTGACTGCTCTCCTCTCTCCCTCACCATGACCTGCAGTGACCATCACCTCCATTAGCCACTTTGACGGACACCTGCCATCCTGAGCAGTCTGCAGTGCTAAGAGCTGGCAGTCTGTCCACAGGAGTCAGTTGCTGCTGTGGAAGGGGGGCATCTAGAGCTGGTCAGGGCAGCCACCTGGATGTGATTTGGGGGCATCTGTGCCCGCAGTCACTCAGCACTTGCTCAGCTTTTTCTTCTTTTTTCAAGGATCTTATGATGCCAAGCATTCATCTGGTGAAACATAGGTTTCTTTAGCTGGGAAACAGAAGCCCTGGGACAGTATTAGGCAGATCCCCAAGTGTCTTTCTATGAGCAAGCAACCCTAGTATGTACTCGGAGCACTTTGGGAGAGACATTTACTGTTCCATTGGCCTAAAAGGGTTGGTTATTTACTGGAAAAAAAAAAAAAACTTTTTAAAGACCTGACAAGGTCATAGTTAACACAAGATCCAGTGCTCATAATCCTGTTACTCTTTATAATTCCAGAGTGAAGGAGAGCCCTACCCCTGCATTCCCTACTCGCCATATGAAGGCTGTAACTGATCATATTCATACAGAATTCCAAGCAATGCCTGCTTATATCTCAAACACTTTAAATCTTCCAAGTTGATTCAAAGCAGCAAGAAGTAGAAACAAGTAGTTGCTTCTCCTGAGATGATAGAACAGTATGCCCAAGCATTAAACTTCTCCATCTTTTGGTTTTCCCGGTCCCATCTCACTTAACCACACAGAAACATTCTCTTCCACTTAGAGCAGTGTGTTAGTAGAGCTAAACAGTTCTTTTTTGTTTTTTTAAGAGACAGGGTCTCACTATGTGGCCCAAGCTGGACTGAAACTCCTGAGCTTACGCAATCCTCCCACCTCAGCCTCCTGAGTAGCTGGGACTATAGGTGTGCCATGGTGCCCAGATGAGCTAGACAGTTCTTGATGAATGAATATCCACAGCTGCTGGTTGCATGGGTGCCTCTCCATTTTTGAAACCCCCTGAGTTATACCATCTGTATTCTGTTGTTAGGCAGCTGTCAGTGACGCTTATTAAGAAACGGCTGATCTGGAGAATGTAAATGAGGCCAAAGCTGTTACCTTCCAATGAGTACCCACAAGCCCAAAGCCAGCCTATATCCACCAGTCATGGAGCTCTATGTCACATGCAGGCCCACACACAAAGACTCAGAAAGTGTCCAGATTGGAGAAATTAAGGTCTTTCTTTATTTCTATTCCAATTCTAAACTGGTGAGTACAGAAGCCCCTTCAGTGGTTCTAGTTGCTCTCAATCCTATGGGTTGAGACAGGCTTACATATTCTCTCTCACTCCTTATCCTATCAGGCTATGATTTCCTAAACTAGGTCATGAGTTCTTTTCTTTCCTCAATACAGATTTTAAAACATGAAAGTGTTGCTCTCCTCAGCCATAATCTATTTGCCAAAAACTCTAAAATCAATTGTCTAAATTATCAAGTGGAACCAGATCATGACTATTTAGCCCCTAAACCAATAGGTAAGCTGATTTGAGATCGATTTTTTTCTTTCTTTCTTTTATTTTTCTTTTATTTTTTGAGACAGGGCCTCACTCTGTCACCCAGGCTGGAGTGCAGTGGCGTCATCATAGCTCAGTGCAGCCTTGAGCTCCGGGCCTCAAATGATCCTCCTGCCTCGGCCTCCCAAAGTGCTGGGATTATACCCATAAGCCACCATGCCCAGCCTGATTTGATTTTTTTTTTAGTTAAAAAATCCACTCATTCAGTCAGTTGCCACTATTCTCCATTATCAATTACAAAGCCAAATGTAGAACAAACTCCTGTAAGCTCTGAAGCCTCCAAACACCATTTTAAATGAAAGCCTAATACCAGGTTTGCAAATTGTCCAGCACCCCCTGGAGGTCTAAGGAGGCGGGGAGCATCAGAGCCTCCCCAGTCACACCAGTTTGTTTCTGCTTGTACCTTGTTTGAAGGCAAAAACTTCAAATACACAGTTATAAATATTATAAAATTGGTGTGACTGGCCTTAAAGGAATTCAATAAAATACATATTTAGATCTCAAGTTGTTCATCCAGGCTATAGTTTGTGGTGACCAACATCTAGAGTGATTAGTGGCCAGAATCTTTGTGTACTGGGTAGCCAGCCAGCCAACAGTACAGATAACCGTCCTGTCAAATCTGGGAGCCCGCAAAGCTGGGGGCCAGTTGGTCTCCATGTTTGTTATATATTCAGTTTATACAGATGCTCAAACCTCCTTGGAGCAATCAGTAGGGACCAGTTTGGGGGACTGATCTCCACGGAACACTTGAAAATAGAGTAGATGCTCAAGTACGGAAAGTGACTTCAGTGCCTATTTTTCTAACTCTACAAAGTACGAAGGCCAGGTAAAATGTGGAACTATGAGATGGGCTAACCCAGATGTATGTGTGGTCTGTGGTTGTGAGTTGGGTTGTGCCTTTCTGGCCTTTGCTTGGAAAGGTAAGTACTTATGAATTCTCCCCAGGAGAAACTCTACTCACATCCTGGATTTAGATTACATGCCACCTTTTCACAGGTGTGCATGTCAGTGTGAGCTGTTCCAGGCCTGCACTTGGTCTTGGGATGTGCCCACATCAGACCTGATTACTACTGCATCTCCATTCAGCATCAGCCTCTTTGCCAGACCTCCTCCCCGTCCTTTCCCAGGTCCTTGCATGAGAGGGGCCCAACAGCCAGTCCCCTTTTAGATTGGTCCTGGAATTTTTATTTTACTGTGGAAATGTCACTTGCCAACCCTGCCCCTTAGTCCTGCCCTATTCCTTGCTCTCCTGTCCTCTCCTTGCCATGCCTTGTTTTCAGTACTGCTTCCTATGGAACATTCCACCAGGTTGTTTCCTGCCTCTCTCCCTCATGCTGATAACTTCCAAATTCCTCCACCTGATCCGCTTGTACTCACATGTTAGACTGAGTCACGTTCATAGTTCATGTCTTTAATATCATTCCCCAGGAGGCAAGGACCACTTCATATAAGACAATTATTGTGCTGAACTCTTTGGTCCAATGTCAACACCAAGAAGGATGGGAGCCAGGGACTTTCCATTCGTTCTTAAATTTGGTCCCGGCCCATCTCTTTAAACTTTTCCATATGCTGCACTGTGATCTCCCTCTCCTGTCTGCGCCATGACCACGATGCTTACAGCGGGCAAAGAGGATTGCCCGGTTCACACCCTCCCATGGCTACGTGGAACTGTTTGGCTGCCCTGCCTTTTTCCCAAGGTGGTCATTCTCTGTCTTAGGGAAAAGAGAGAGTCAGCAGTTTGTCTCTGCTTGCTTTTCTTTTTCACTGGTTTTTTTTTTTCTCCTCATGCTACCTTTCATTTTCTTGCTGCTTCATCCCAAACAACTATAACTCCACTAATCTTTCATTTCTATCCTTCTCATCATGTGGGTATGAGAGACTTTTGTCTGATACCTTGCCACCTTTCTGTAGTCATTATAACCCCCAGGGTTGTCCATCTTCATCTGTGAAACCCCATTCCCATAACAAAATCATTTCCCTCCTCCCAAAGAGCTGATGACCTCAATTTCAATAGTGCAGAAGACCACTTAGGAAGGACAAATACCAGAGTAGTCAGGCCTGTGATATAATTCCATTTATTGAAGTCTTTAAGTCCCTTATGGGATATGGGATATTAGGAAGAATATCTGTGGGCTGATTATTCTGTTCCAGTTGCAACACTGACAAATAGGAAGGGCTGGACTAGCACATTGGTCCAGCTAGATTCCATTATCAATGAACATTTATGGTTTCTCCAGCTTTTGTGCACAGTTGTAATTTCCAGAGTATGAGTCTGTTCGTGAACACCTTTAAGCAGCTGCCAACCTCTGCATGACTTGGGACAAGGAGAGCGCAATTAGCTGTGACTTTAGTGATGCTTATAATCACGTATAGTAGGTCAGAGGCAGGTTAGCAGTTCGCAGATCCTGGAGCAAGCTCTCTGGACTGCAGAGAACTAGCAGGGTTAATGAAGCTTCCTACAAAGCAGGTTAGAGGACCATTATTTTGCTATGTGTCACTTCAGCCTTCTGAACAGTACATGCCCTGTACAAAAAACAAAAACAAAAAATTGCTTAAATAACAGACCTCTCTTTTATTTTCCATGCTTTATTTTTAAAAAATAAAAAATAAACGAGATACGAGAAGAGCCCAGAAGGAAAAAAGTGGGTGTAAGGGACCAAGTATAGGGAGAAGATGAGAGGAAGAGAGAGAGAAAAGGGCAGCAGCTGGATTTAGGAACACACAGAGTCCTCAGCTCCAGTCCCAGTGATGACGAAGAATGGTCCCTGAGGCTGTGGCTCAACCGCGTTAATCTGGTTCAGGAGGCCCCAAACCACATGGCGGGCCGTCATTCGCAAAAGCAATCCAC